GGGGGGGGGGGGGGGCGCCCCCCCCCCCCCCTTTTTTTTTTTTTTTTTTTTTTTTTTGGCCTTGGCTTTGGGAAGTTTGCTGCTTAAAAACCCCAGTGGCAGGGGGCTGGGAGAGGGAGGCCTGCTGCAAGTGCCCCCCCAAAGCCCTGGGACCCAGAGTTATTGGAGAGGAGGCTCTGCAAGCATCTTTATTTAGGTTTTAGTCTATTTATTTATTTTTTCCCCCCTTTCTCTCTCCAACATCGATTTATGCTGCTGTTAAACAAATCATGGTCTCAAACCCCTTTGTGATAGCTGGGGATGCGGATCTGGAGAGGGAGAAGGTTATCATTCATCCTGGGGAGTTTATATGTAAAGCTCATCAGCTTTTTTTTTTTTTTTTTTTTCTTCTCTTTCACATCCTGCTTTAGGGATATTAATATAAGCACGAGGCTGGAAAGATAAAACATATCGACAGGACATGTAACCATTACTCCTCTTTAAGCATTTCCTCCACAGAGCAGGGAAAGGTGTTGGGAGCCAGTTGGGATTTTGGCTTTTTCCCAGGAAGATCCCAGCCCACACAGCTGGGGTGGGGAAGTCAGATAAAGCCCAGCCCTAAAAAAATAAAGAAATAACATGAAAAGACGATGAGTAAAGAACACCCAAGGCTCGGCCCATCCCGTGGGGGTTTGGATATTTTTAATATCCTCTTATATAGGCAAGAAATCAAAGCGGAGAGGGGAAGAATAGGGGGGAAGGAGGCACCAGGGAGGGGAAAAAAAAGAGGTTTAATGCAGGAAAAAGCAGAAAATCTGCAAGGAAAGCGCAGCCCCAGGTGCTGGGAGGTGGGTGATCCCTCAGAGCACCCCAGTGCCCCAAAGCTGAGGCAGGGCAGCACCCCAATTCTCCTCGGGGGTGGGGGGCAGAGCTGGGCATCTGCACCGCTGCAGGCTGGGCTGGAGTCAGGAGGAGGAGGAGGAGGAGGGTGGGGAGGAAGGAGCATCGCTCCAAGCTGGATTTCTCCCTCTTTTTTTGAGGGGGGTGTTGGAGTTTGGAGTTGTGGGTTGGGATTTTTTGGTTCCTGGAGGGTGCTGTACCGCCCCTCCCCATCCCAGGCTGGGTGTATCCCATGGAGGGGGGTGCTGGGGATGGCACCCGGGGGGGGCAGGTCCCTTGGGTGCCAGGGACACCAACCGGGGGTGGGCTCCTGCCTGCTGCCCACAGGAGGGTCCTCACCCACCATCTCCCTCAGCCTTGGCCGTGACACCACTGGGGCTACTACAGAAGGAGAGTATAAATACCCGGGGAAGAGAAGGCAGGGGGGAGAAAAAGGAAAAAAGGAGGGGGTGGGTGGGAAAGGGAAATAAGGGGGGGGGGGAAGAAAAAAAAAGGAGGAAAAAAGAAAATAAAGAGAATAATGGGGAAAAGGGGGGGGGGGGAAATACAGGGGGAAAATGGCTGTTCCTGCTGCAAACAGCCCAAACCACGGTCCCTTTTTAGCCTCTTGACGCCTCCATGTAGAGAGGCTGAAAGAAAACTTTATTGAAGTTCGGGTAAACGGCAAAAAAGCGGGTTCATGGAAAGGCCAACTTTTCTATCCCAGCAGCTCTATTGGAGGCGAGCAAGCTGACCCCGGAGCCCTCCTGACCCGCTGCCTCTCCCCACGTTGTACCTTCTGTGTCTGCGGACATAGATTTAGAGGCACCATCGCTGTTTAGAGGCTTTGTAGGTTTTACCATAGTAATGGGGTGTATGGGGAAAGGGGGGGGGGAGCTGGGGCAGATGCGATGCGTGTTATGGCATTGTCTCCTCGCCAAAATAACCCGGGAGAAAAAGGGGAGAGAAGGGTGAAGTGGCGGCCAAACTTCTCTCCCTTCTTTTCCTCCAGAGATGCTCTTCCTCCCGGCTGGTCCAGGAGCGCTCCCAGCCACGTAAGTAACCCCCACTTCAGGGGGAAAAAAAAAATAATAAAAAAAATCAAAATAATTAAAAAAATTTTAAAAATCAAAATAATTAAAAAATTAAAAATGAAAATATTTTTTAAATAATTAACCCAAAGCAGAGCTAAAAGGAGCCCCTGAAAGTTTGGGAGGTGTGGGGATGAAAATCAGGCTGCAAATGGGAGCGGAGGAGCGGTGATGCGGGAGGAGGGGGGCAGAGATTTGGTTGTGGGCAGCGATGCAAAAATAACCCCGAGTTTCTCCAGCGGAAAGGAGCTGCGGGACAGACGGACAGCCAGCCACACGGATAGATACAGGGATGGATGGAGAGCTGTAGGGAAGAAATGCTCCCCCCGAGGCATCAGAGCTTGCTCATCCCTGGGCTATATGTCCCAGACCTGGCCCTGCACCTATAGATGTGGCTGCAGGAGGTGCCCCCACCTCCCCCCCGGGTGCTGCATTGTTCGGTGCTCGGATAATTCGCTTTACTTTGATTATTGGGCTATAAAACTCCCAGCAACAACGTGTTTCTGGAGGCTCAAATTAACATCTGAGGCCAGGGCTTTTTTTCCCCCCTTTTATGTTCTTCGAGTCCAATTTGTTTTGAAGTTCCCTGATAAGTTTTTACCGGATCCTTTCGCAGCTCGGTCTTTATTTTATGGTTTTTTTTTCTTTTTTTTTTCTTCCCCCTCTTCTCTTTAACTAGCTTCGCTAAGGACTCTGGTTTTAAGAGGGCTGCAAAGTCGTTTTACGAAGGGTTTAACTGGCAATAAAAAAAAAAAAAAAGCGCGTGAGGAAGTCTTTGTATCCAGAGCCTGCGAGGAATGGTAACCCCTCTTAAATTTACACCAGCAGGCTGAGAAAATTAGCTTCCTGTATTGCCTGTTAGAAAGGGGAAAAAAAAAAAAAAAAAAGGAAAATAACAGCTCCAGAGATGCTTTGGGGAGATAACTGCAGGCGGAGGAGGGTCCTCAGCAGCCTCAGTTTTATGAGAACTTTTTAATTTTATTTTTAATGCAGTGGAAATACATTATTCCCCCCCCCCCTTTTTTTTGTTGTTGTTGCCCCAGGGCTCTCCTGTTGAGCGGGGTTTAGTTCGCAGTTAACACGGTATTACGGGTCCTTCCAGCAATTTCCTTCAACCCCTCGTAGGTTGAAAATGTTCCTCTCCGGCGTTAATTGGAATTAAAAGCCAAAACACGCACCCAGGGTTAAACGAGTGAGTTACTGGTTCGCCCCAGACCTGACAGCACCTCCAACGTGCAACTTTTATTTATTGTGCTCTCCTATATCATTATCCAGAGATATAGTTTTATGTACTTCCTAATCTGTCGCTGTGATTAATTTTGATGGGCAAGGTACCAAGCTAAACATTTTGGGATTTTTTTTTTTTTTTTTGAGTGAAAGACTCGGATTTCCTTTCCAAACAGCCAGCAGCCGCCGTGGGGATGCTGTTAGCAATTTTCAAATATCACCTTTTCCTGCTTGTTTGGGTGTTTGCTTCAGTG